ATCAAAGTCGTCTCATATTTTGAAGAAAAATAGAACAAATTTTAAATCTTAAATATATAGTTTACATTTTGGGCAATAATTTTCTACACTTAATAAAATATCTACACACAACTTTTCGAAAAGAATGTGTTTTCTTTTACAAACGAATCTTGTAAAAATACTTTTATTTACGTTTAACATATTAAAGAAATACTTTTAAAAAAATTTTAAAAAATATTTAATTAATATTTAATTTTAAAAAATATATGTATTTAAAATTAACTTTTAAGAGAAAAATATTTTTAGAAAAAAATAATTTCTAAAGATATATGTTTTTTAAATATTTACTTAACAAATATTTAATAATATTTAATATTTGCTTTTATATATTTGTATAAATTTAGTGCTCTTTTGTAAATAAAATTCGGATGTTTAGAAAGTTTTTCGTCATTTAAAAAAGGTTTTTTTAATTTAGAAACATGCTTGCGCTAGTTTTTCTATATGAATACTTCAATTTCTGGCCGCGTTTTGCTTTTTTGAGTGTAGGAAACAGAGTACTTAAATATATATGCCATATATGAGCTGCACATATGCGCTCATATAGATATCTATGCGAGACATTACAATACATCCATTGACAATGTCAGTACATTTGTATCTATATATATATATATATATATATATATACATGTGTGTGTTTGTGTGTATGTATGTATATAAAATGTCTGGCGAGTCCTGTTTCTCTGTTGTTTGGGCCTCTGCCTATTTTGCGCCGTTATCCATTAAATATTTATGAAAATTGCTTTTGCTGCAGTTTTATACACTTCGTTGTCCTTGCCGTGGAGGTTCTTGCTTTGCATGCGCTGCTTTTTGGGCCTGCTTCAGTGGAGGCAGCTGAAAGAGAAGGTAGGGGGAGGCGGGTGCACAGGCCAGTAAAACAATAAAGCTTAAGAATTCAATTTCCTAAGAGCTTAAAGCTGCCACTTCCTGTTCTTCCTTTTAATGCTTGGCATGTGTGTGAGTGTGTGCGTGTGTGTGTTTGTGTGTGTGTGTATTTGATTCTTAGCACACATAAATCCTGGCAAGACATGCGCCTAGATAATCCCACATTATGAAAAGATATGTTACAATAAATATTTTCGCATCAATAGCGAACATTTTGAACAGCACATCGTTAAACAGAGAGAACAAAATAATTCTCAACATGATTTATGTGGCAGGGTTAGCAGGGTTTAAATATTATAGAAATGCTTAAATCCAAGCAAAACTCAACGAGACAAAACTTTGAAGTGCAATTGAAAGTAAAAGTGGCCCCTAAGAAAGCGAAATGCACAAGAAAACGAAAGGGAAGTTACATTCTATGTTGCAGTATATACATTGATAATAAAAGTTTATTAATTACCAAGAATATTTGAACATCAAGCAACCTTTGGGCGAACAACAACAGCGATGGGTAATTTAGTCCGCTCAAGAGAGCTGTCCGTCTATCGGAGCTGGAATGGAGAAGGCGCGATTCATGTGATACACACATCAGATCTTTCACTTAGTCTTTTTCAAGGGTAATAAGATGTATTAATATTTAAAAGTATTCCCAATTGCTAAAATAAAATGAAAATAAGATTTAACAAACCTTAAATATAAAGTTTATTAATAAGGCAGAAGAGAACCAAAGTATAGATAGCAAAGGCTATTCTTATTAATTAGTCATACTTTATTTATATATTATATATTTATTTATTAGGTTCTTCAACCCACCTTAGAATAAGACGAGCTCCTTTTCACATAATTACAGCTGCATACCTCCAGATTGATTTAAATTATTCGAAATATCATCTTCAGTCGCCTGAAAGCCTCTTTTTGCCGTCATATATCGTAGTTGTGCCTTAAATGAATGGCAGTTTGCATGCGAACTAAACTTGTCCCAGCCACAAAGCAAAAATATAAAATCCCTCACGACATTTGAACCACAAGCAATTGTTTGTTTTTTTGGTATTTTGCCCAGCTACACGTAACTGAGCTGTAAATTTCAATTGAAATTTAAAGCTTTGCAAACACACCTGAGCTGAGTTTATGGCAGGCTAGTGTCCCGATTGAAATGGACAGTGGCAGGAGTGGGGGGGCAGGTGTGGAGCAGCTTTGTGCCAGAAGCTGCACTCATTAGTTGCATGTTCGTGTGCTTAAATCATTTAGAGCTAGACCACACGCCCACAATTCCACACGCCACCACGCCCCCCACTAAAGACTTGAGCACTTCATGTATTTGCAATATAAATTTGTTAGGTTTTGCTTTTTTTTCGCGTTTAATTTTCTTCAGTTTTCTTCTTGGCGGGGGAAATTGCGCATCATAAATTCTTGTGAGGATTTTGGGTACATTTTGAGTAACGGTACTTAATAAACTCGCATCATTTTCCCATTTGGCGCTCGCACTGCATTTCTTGTCTTCCTGCCACGCCGCCCCGTAACCTCTGCCGCCGCCACCTGCTCCTGTTGTTGCCCCAAATTACCTGTCATTTCGAAATTATGATACCAGAATCGTTGCCTCTGCCGTTGACGTTGCTTTCCGGCATCCTTCCTACCTCTCGAGGGATTTTTTTTATTTTATTTTTTTTATTATATGTTTCATGTGGGGTAGCGCGCGGGAGGGCACCTAATTTTATATGCCTCGCGCATATAATTCAAACTAATGCCGCCTGCGGCTATATCGTAAAACCTTATGCGCATTTTCCGATTGTAATCTGTAAGCATCATACTTAACCGTTAATAAGCGTGAGGCCCGGCAGTTTCTGCCCTCCCCCAAACTGAAAATACCAACTAAGCTATATAGTTGTATATCCTTATATATCTCTCATTTGATATGACAAGCTGACAACTTGATGACATCGCCTTGAAGTGGACATTTTTGAAAAGATGCCAAGAGAGCGGGGGCTGAAGTAGCAAAAACATGATATGTGAAGTATCTGTTGATGGCAAAAGTTAATATTGGGATTTGCTTGACTTCAAACTGACAGCAATGGGGGGCGTGTGAGCCAAGCAAATGCCATAAATAGAAATGCTTTGATATATAAGCTCTTCTGGATTTTCGATTGCTTTGATAAGCTTAACTAAACAGAAGCTAAGAAACTGGGTTAAACATAAAAGAAATGCGTCGAAAAACAACAATATAACTACACAACGAATATGAAATACCCTTACAGGCATATGGCACACGGCTGGCGTAGTTATGTGTGCAGCATTGTGACGCCCATAACTGCAGAGTTTTGATAAAGATATCTTGAAAACCAGAAAAATTTGCCATAAAAAATCACATTATGCGAACATTTCTTGCTAGAAAGATATATGGTACAGTAGTCAGATACTCACAAGATATGGCACAGTGAAACTAATAAAGGCCGGGTTGTTCCAGACAAAAAACGACCCTGATCAATTATTTATTTGGCTATATAATAATGTAATTCGATCAGGAGACCAAGTTTTACCTTTTTCTAATATATATACCACGGGATCAAAGATTTTTATTATAAAAATTTGTTTGGTCTGAGATATCTTCTTCTATACTTTAGAGAGTCGAAGATGTCTCATCCTATGAATTATTTCCTTGGGTGCAAGATTTCATCTTCCCATATATAAACTTTTATGCTTAACATTATCATACTCTGTACAAGCGTTTGTACATATTTTATTTGAGAAATACCAATGTCTAGTCGACTTTCCGCTTCAAAAAATTCAACACAAACAATTATCAATATTCTACAAAGTAGATTTTAATAAACCTATACGAATTTCGTTACATGCAAGCCGAAATAAAAAAAAAAAACACCATTTTGCATAGAATGCTCTTAGGCGCTAAACAACTTCTCAATACCTTGCGACAGGGCGCGAAAACTACGCCCCAAACGCCTCAGCAGCAGCACGCTACAGATGAAGATCATGCTACACTTCATGAACTCTCCGGCAGTGGGATCATTGCATAGAAAGTGGAGCCAGTGTTTGGGTCGCAGGCGATACCATGGTAACATTTTAATTTATTTATTTGATGAAACAAATTTGAAACGGTTTTCTGTAGCTGAAATAGCTTGAATTTATATCGAAAACGATGCGTTTACAGACTTACCACAATGTATTTAATACTTAGAGCTTTTCAGAATTTTAGAAAGTTCAGGCATACATTAAATTTGATATAAGAAAATTTGAACACTGGGTTTTCAGGCTGTCAACATTTTGAGTTGTTTTGCAAATACGATTTACAAAAAAAAAAAACAAATATTGTAAGATTTAACCATCCGAAAAGAGTTGAAGCCTTAGTACTGTGTTTGCTTTAAGCAAAGTATTTACAAAACATGGTGCAAAGAGAAAAGAGAAATTGATTCATTTCCGTCGAGTAAATTCTATAAAGCAAAACATTCAAGAACAGGAAACAAAAGGGACTGCAAGTTCTTAAAAAAACATTAACGGATACGCATGCAAAGAGTATAGAGAAATTGATAGTTCTGAGGAGAAAGTTTAGGAAAGCAAAATGATAACGAACTCGAAACAAAGAGGAACTGGCTACTGAGAGTGGGATATAATTGTCGCCTTATCTTTATGTCGCATTCGTAAACGTTTTAATGGCAGCATGTGTACACAATCTATGTACAATTGCTCGTGCGATTGTATTGTAATATAACTTTATATAAATAATTATATCTGTGCTATTTAAGTAGTGCAAGCATATCTTTTACTTTATGTAGTCCATATGATAACAATCAAGTAAAACGCATGCTTGTGCAAATATTTTGTTGTCATTCACTTGCAATTTCGACAAAAGAATTTGGCTATTCTTAAAATTTCGATGGCAAGCAACCGTATCGAAGACATTTTGCCAAGCATGACAAACAAATGTGCGAGAACCCCCCTCAAAAAGACAAATGTCGAGCGTTTGATATGCTCAGAAAGCTGGCACTCAAAAGTGTTGATTTAAAATGTTCAACAAACTTGTTAATTAGCAAAAAATACGTGAATTTATTATATAAAATGACCAAAGCATAAGACTAGATTCAAAGGAATTTCATAGAATATAATACTAGACAAATTTTACGAATTATTACAATATAATTGATTATGATTATTATTTAATGGAGCTGCTGAAGTTCTTCTCATTGCTCAAGCACTGATTGCAAATGGTGCAGAAGATTTGCTGTAAATACAAAACAATTATTTTTCGCTCTATGTTCGCAAGTTTTAATCTTACAGGAATGGAGGAGGAACGCGCTATCGAGCCACCCGCTTGCGAGGAGCCCGTGCACTCGAAATGCCGCAGCCAGGATTTGATGACATTTGTTGGCGGTATCTGATAAATGCTAAACTGTTTCTTAAACATTCGCTGTGCTGTGCTTATGGAATCGTTATTTCTATAATAGGCGCGTATTATAAACGCCCGATGCACGCCCGTCCACTGATCCATTGCGACTGGCAATACCAAGTTCTATGGCAATACAATATTTTTGCTTGAACTGCAAACCTTGATGGCATTTCCGGTTCATCAGTGACATTAAAAAAGTGCAGAAATATGAATATTTCTCAACAAAAATTTAATTGGTCATCTGCAGCGTCAGATGCGTTTATTCTAAATTTATAACGCGCGGCTAACGCGACGTATGAGCAATGCGCAATTCTGTGAAGGTTTTTTTTTTTTTTTTTTAGGGGGGGAAATTTTTGTGGGCGTCTTTTCAATTTTTAAGTGCAAATTGTAAATAGTCTTTTTGCTCCGCCCCCTGCTCAATCTCTCCGTCTGCCCATCAATCAATCTAACAAAGTCATCATCATTACGCTTCATCAGCACACACCCATCAAAGGTGGGGTGGGGATGGTGGGAGGCGTGGCATCTAAATCTACAAACTTGAACTCATTTAAAGTTTCGCTACAACTTAAATCCTCTTTGGCATTTGGCCATCATGTCAGTAGTTGGCCATCGCCAAAGTCTTTAAGCGTTTTCTTTTTTTTGTTTTTTTTTTTGCTTTTGTTGTTGTCATTCTTTGTGTATATACCCTATATTATGGGGTGGCTAACAAAAAGATTGATGAGCTGTTGAGGTTATTTTTACCAAAAAAAAATTTAAGTAACTAAGGTAAATAATTTATTGAGCTCTAGCCACATTTTTTTTGTCTAACTGTTATAGCCTCTAAGGATTTATAGAGTGCATTTTAACTGCATAAATAGGGCTTGAATAAAATATACCTTGGATTATATGTTTTTAGATGGTTTTACGATCTATATCGATAAGCTTTATCTAAAAAGGTGCATCGGAAATATAATTTAGAGCTCGCAATCTGTTATATATTCTGTTATCGTCACACTGTTAGCTTTTACATAACATAGGCAACATTTACATATTCTGTGTAGATTTTTTCTTGAATAATCTGTACTATAAATAATATACTTCATAAAATTGTTAGAGTTTTTTAGATCTATAATGATACGTTTTATTTAAAAATTTGCATATAATATAGCATTGAAAACTCGCTACATACAGATCTCTTATCTGTTAAAATCACTGTTAACTTTTACATAACATGAGCAACATTTACATTTTTTAACATGCGAAACATGTATGTTATTACAAGAGCTGTTAATGTTTGCTTTGTAAGGTTAATTTGAAAATGTATTACACTCTCGATTTTATGATTATTATTATCATATATCAACAAAATTAATAAAACTCTTTAATACTTATGAGAGAGCATTTGTGATTCGTCTTGCCACATGGGAAAAAGTCATTTTTAGCTCTGGCTTTGGTTTTCTCATTCATTCTCTTTTTATTCCGCCATTTTGCTGGACCATCGAGCACGTATCTGCAATACAATGCACGGAGCCAGCGTATAGATACATAGATACAGATACAATTATGTAGTCTCTGTTGTTGCAGCACGAGTGTTTGTTTTTTTTTCTTTTGTTGATGGTGCAAGTTAGCAAATGCTGCCGTCGTTTTGGCGTTTATACAGTTAGCCAGACAGACAGCCAGTCCGGGGCCCAGCTCCCATCCTATCAACTGCAGCACAGCTATCCATCCATCCACAGCACGTCCAAGCAGGCAGGCGTCCATCCGGGTGTGTGTGAGTGTGCGAGGCCTTTTCCTTCTCTTCTCCCATTTTCCTTCTTCTTTTTTTTGCTGGTGTCTGCCTGTCATTTTGACACCTTCATTTGCTGCGAACATTCAGCCAGCGTCAGAGTCAGAGTCAGGTCCGTGATTCTGTTAACTCTATTTTTTTTTGTTGCTAAAACTGTGTGTGTGTATTTGAGAGTGTAATTTTTGGTGAAATTTCTTTTAAAGTTTTTTTTTTAACCCCGCATGAGTTTTGTTTTCGTTGCATTTTTAAGTTTGCGTAATACCCTCTACCTCTAAGTTTATTATATATATTTATTATACTTTATACTTATTGTAATATTACATATTAATTTAATATCAGGTTCGACAGCATTTGAATTATATATCACTAAACTAAAAAATTTTAATCAATTATCAATGTTATGGCCAAATTTCTGCCCGATTCTTAGCAAAACAAATATGAAATTAAATTTAGAAAAATAAATTAAAATAAATCAATAATTGTTAATTAGCTGGTCATTATTTGGTTTATTACAATTAAAAAAACAATTTAGTTGTAATTTCTTTTATTCCACAACTTTTATTTTTATTTAATTCTTTTTAATATATATTTGTTGCTAAATTTTCTATTTCAATTGTATTTTTAATTATAATTTATACGAAAAACATAGAGTCTCAATCAGCTTATATATATATATATATAATTATATAATTTATTTTTTTATATTTATTTTTAATGATAATCTTTTTCCATATGCTGTCATTTTATCATGCTTTATTGTATTTACTTATAAACTTTATCCCAATAAGTGGAATTCGTTTTGTTTTTATTCACGTTCGCATTCAATTTTAAATGATTTCTAATACCTATTGACTCACCCAAATGCTTTTGTCTATTTATTCAAATGCTGCTGCTTAACTAACTTTAAAACTTACTAAACTGGCAAGTACTGTTTGCATGCTTTCATTTTTGCTTTGCTTTGGCTTTTGATTTTGCCAACTTGACTGCCATATAAGCTGCCTAAACCCATAAGCCCCATTGCAGCATTACGTTGCCGAAACTTTCATGCAACAGCAGCGGCAGCGGCAGCAGCAGCAGCAGCAGCAGCGGCAGCAACAGCGGCAATAAAAAGCAGCAGGAAAAAGAAATCTGTAAAAGGCAACAATGCCAAGACAAATGATCCAATGGCTGTCTGACTGCACTTTAGCCATGCCACCCCCACATATTCCATGCACAGCCCCTAGTCCAGCACCAAAAAGGGGAAATAAAAAACAAAATATAGTCAAATATATTGGGTTATGTGTGTCTGGGTGTGCGTGTGTGTATAGCGGGGGCAAAGCTGTCTCAATTTTTGGGTTAGCGCACATTTCTGCATGTAAAGTTGGCGGATTTTTCACCCAATTCTTAAGGATTTTCGTTTGCCTTATACCCTATATACACCAAATCCTGTAAGAGTAAATTGTCAAATCGAGCTCATAAAAGTCCTTAATGGTTTTTTAATTTACTGCAGATTAGCAAAAATAATACAGCTGATATTTCTTCTGCGTGCTAACATATTGTTTTTATCCACGCAATTCTGGCTAATAAGAGCTAGAGACAGATATATGCCACATATAGTTCACATTTCTCCTGTTTCTTCAGTTAGATATATGTATGACTCTCTCCGTTTTTATCCTCCCATTAAACTCAAGTATTATAAAAGTTAGAGACATAATATTTGGTATGTCTGATCATAAGAAGCGCAGATGTATTGGGGGATCTCTGCCTCACATTGATCAAGTGTATATAACATTTTGGAATCTCCATCGTTCTTCTGCTTCCACGAAGCTCAGGGATCATAATAGCTAAGTAGAGACATGGTATGTTGGATCTGTATTCTAAAGAGATCAAGTATATGAATAATTTTGGATTTTTCTCCGCTTTTCCTCTCCCTCTTCTTCTGATTTCTCCTTTCATGGAACCTAGATCATAAAAACGAGATGCATAGATTAAGGAATTTAAGATAGGCTTGTAGTTGCTTATTACTCTTTACAGGGTATCTGCTAGTCCATTTTTTCTTGAGTTAGTTTTTTGCTCCGTGTCTTGTCCATGTCAAAGCTGCTGCTGCTGCTGCTGCTGCTGCTGCTGTTGCTACTGACGATGATGATGACAAAGGGCAAGGCAAAAGAGTAACAAGGAACTGGGTCAAGACTTTATTGTTTATCTTGGAACATGGGCCAAAACCAGAGTCAGAGCCGGAGCCAGGGTGTCAGAACTGACGACTGAGGCGGCCAAGAAAGGGCTGGCTGGCTTCACGCTTCACACTTTGCCTATGTCCAGTTGGTCATTTGAAGCGGTAGAATATTAAATTCTTGAAGCATTGTTCAGTTTGCGAAATTAGCCGATGAAAGTTAATATGAAATTTAGCATAGCTGAAACCAAAGAAGGTCATTTCTCAAGGGGTATGTGTGTGTGTGTGACGAGGAGGGGAGGGGGGCTTAGTGTGTGTGTGTGTGTGTGTACATCGCGGGACTGTGGCACGCCTTGCCGGACGTTTTCATAAACGTTTCACTTTCCGGCAACGCCACAGATAAACATACATACACTCACACCCACGCACCCCACACACACACACATGTGCAGCTGGTATTTCAAGGAGTTTCAGCTGTAAATCTGACAAAACAGGATACTAAGCTGACGCTGCAGCGCAACGGAAGCGGATGCTGCGCTGCTCGATGTGCGGGAGTTGGGCGCAAGGCGTTGATAGCAGCAGCTTATCAGCTACAGCTACCCACAACAAGGCTTGGGGGTCTGTTGGCATGCCTGAGTGCTAGATCCCGCATTACCAGCCCACCAGCCAACCTTCCCCCCGCCCAGCACAGAACCACTCATCATATTCAGCCATTTAAAGGTGCATTAGATTTTGCATTCGCCTCTAAGGGGCAGAGAGATTGAGTAAGGGAGGGGGAGGGGCTGACTGCTGTTGGGGCTTGCACTTAAAAGTCAAGTGAAAGTTGCCGATTTGGGTTAGCAAAATAAGCTTAAGCTTTTTGCACTCGCACGACTTAAGTTTATTATTTAAAGCTCGAACCAAGTGAACGTGTGGCGCAAAATATTGGAAAATAAACAAAAATTTTTGCAGTTTGTTGCATTGCAGCAGAGAATAATCAAGGAAAAATAGTTGCTACAGTTCATCAAAATCGAAATATCTGACTTAAGCTACAAATTTTACAATTATTTAAAAAAACATATATAATATGCAAGAAGTTCTTATCTAACTAAATGCCAAGCTCAAAAGTAAGTTCGTTTTCTTATCGAAAATTGTAGTTTTGATGTCGATTACTTATCGAAAGAAATATTAGTGTAAGAGGAAGACATA